GTACTAAGTCTTATAAAAACTCTGCTTCTATAACACCACTTTCCTAAAAAAAACCTCAAGACATTTTAAAAGCAAAATTATGGCTTTAAAATTCTTAGGTAAACCTCCAAGAACATTCCAAATCTTATTACTCTTCCAAAATTACATCCTAATCTCCCCTCCTAGAAGACTTGTTAATTACCTGTAGACCTTGTGTGATAGAGCCTTGTAAATGTTCCTCCCCCACCTCTTTTCTTCCCACCAAAACCAGTTTAGTTCAAGAACCACTTGCTTTATGAACGCTTGCCCTACTTCTCCAGTCAATAGTATTTCCTCCTCCTCCTAATCTTATTTTACTTTAACAATCAATACCATAGGTTAGCATTTAGCGGTTTCAACTGAAATAGACCTGCACCTAGAATACTACTGAGGACACAGAGCAATAAATACAATGAAACTTTAGCTGATCAATCAAACTGAAGGGTATCTCAGCTCTGGGATGCCGGGTTCCTAAACTTCTCTTTCTTAACTGGATAGAATAAACACTTACTTCTTCAGCCCACTATAAATTCCCAAACTGCCTCCAGTTTAATTCAAAGGAGAAAAATTAGCAAGCTTATTATCAGAATCATTTATTATTGGCCATCCCACACATCCCACTCAAGCCCATTACACACAGCTTCATATACAATATAATACACAATAGTTGTAGGGGAATCTGGGTGGCTCAGTCAGTTAAACGTCCAGCTACATTTTGGCTCAGGTCATGATATGAAGGGTCGTGAGATGGAGCCCTGTGTCAGGCTCCTTGCTGGGCATGGAGCCTACTGAAGATTGTCTCTCTCCCTCTCCCCCTGCCCTCCCCAATTCCCCGATCATACTCTCTCGCTCTTAAAAAAATACACACACACACATACATTACAATATTATACCAAGTACTGAACAAATTAAACGCATCCAACTTATTAAATAACATTCTTATGATACCATGGAAGCCATGTACCTTGGGACAATTTGATCAATCTGTTATTCAATCCTCCATCTCCATCCACAATGTAAATATCTCCTGTGTCGTCTACATATAATTCTGCAGGATTATCAAATTGCAGGGGATTCAAACTGGTGCCTTTTTTGCCTGGGGTACCCAAGACTTGAACAAGATCACCAAAGGAATTGTATTTTTTAATAGTATGACCATAAGATCCTTTAAAGAAAAACATGCACATGTCACAAATATAACCACTGTCCAAATATTCACGTTTTTCAAGTAAGCACAGAGCAAGAATTTAGTGAATTAGACAGTAATAAAAAGTTAATAGGCTCAGATAATTAAATGCTGTATTTCACAAGCAATAAAGCTTCTTCATTAGTTACAACCAAATCTGTCATGATTAAAATTCAGGTACTCCAAAATAAGTACATTCTAAATTCAAATAAAACCAAAAAACCTGACTCCTTATGCAGAAAGCTCATGATGTTAAATCATTCTTTTGTATTCTTTTATAAACTTTCTTTTGTAATAATAACTATAACAGTATGACCTTGAATAAAATTCCTTGTAAAAAGAAACCAAGAAGGAACTAGAAAAGGAACTTATGTTTGGAAATCACTATTTCAGTCAATCATGTGCAGATCTCAAATTTTAGTAGGTCAACAAAAAAGTTCACTACAACACATATTTCTTAAAACTATACTTTCTCATTAGTAGAAACAAGTTCAAAACTCGACCCGTTAACTTTTTTTCCTAAGAGATGAAATCTTTCCAAATCACTAATATATTTTCTCACTTATATCAAGACTTGAGTTAAAATTATCTCACAAGCAAAAATATAAAGTACAATATTAATAATTAAGAAAAAACCATAATGTGGTTAACAGAAATCAACCTGAAGGCATACCAAGACCAAACTAACAAACAGGCATGCAAAAGATACACTGGATACACTGAACTCACTGGAAATAAAGTGAATCAACCCGCATTACAGCTCCATCTTAAAAAAGATTTATTGTTATACCTGATTTGAATGCTTGAGATAATTTGTAGCAATAAGAGAACAAAATATTATTAACGAAAGCAACCTTCAAAGTTTCTAAAGAGTTGGCAAAAGACACAGAAGACCAGTATATAACATTGTTCTGTTTTGTTTTTAAGGCTCATTTACAGCCATATTTTTAGTAAAGGGAATGTATTTCTTCAAAAACTGGGAAGGAATATAAATTCAGATCTGTGCATGAGAAACCCTTTAATGGAAAGAATGAAGAAGTCATGTGTGTTCTATTTCTGGGAATCAAAGAGGTAATTTACAAAAAAACGATCCCATGAATGGAATAAATTAAAAAGTAAAGGCCTTTAACAGTGAGTCCTGGAGAAAAAAGAAGTCAAAATAGTCACATCTCATTATAGCATTACAAGGAACTCGGAGATAATCTCAATTTTTTGTTTAACTGGAATTTTATCACCCAAAATACATCTTGAAAGTAATGAATCGGGTGAGGCTCAGAAATCTCTTGGGTTCTGAGAAGAACTGGTAATGGCACTTTTAACAAAAACTTAGAGTTCATTAACTCCAAAATGTTATCTGAATTAGCCAGAAATGAAGAAACAGAATGTCCTTCAAGCCCTGAATGTAAGTGGGCCAAAGAATACTAGAAAGACTGTCTTTATGATCCCATTCATTCCTGAGATCCTGTGATAATAATGCCAGGTTATCTCTGGTACTGTCTTAAGCCACAAGAATATGGAAACAGCTATCTCTGAAAATATCCAGAGCTATAAACCCAGCTGTCCCTAGTTTGATTTGCAACACATTCTTTTAAAAGTATTCGGTGGAAGAAGATTGCAGACATGCTGCAGGAGGTAGGATTTCAGAAACATTAACATCAGCAGTTTCTGCAAATCTTGCATTTTGGGCAACAAAGTAGTTCTGGTTTCTTAGCAGAATTTCTTTTGAAAGAAAAAGGGTGAAGGAAAATAAGACAAAGACTCCATTCATTAACGTTCAGAGATTGCTGTCTGGGGCTTCAGAGAAGAGATTTAGAATTTTAACCTGGGAAGAGCAACTGATGCTTTAACAAATTATAAAAATGATCCCTGAAAGTATGGTGTCACAACTGATGCTTTAAAGAGGAAAAGTCCCTTGACAAGTAAAAGTAAAAACCGTAATAATTATAGCCTCCCTGTTAAGTATCTTGACTCTACAGAAGTAGAACATAGAGGTTTTTAGAAACAAGTGATTTGATAAATCATTAAAGAGATTACAATTAGATGTAGCAACTCTTGATTTTAAAGCGTACAAGCAAGAACATGGGCAAAAATATGATTTCTAGCAAAAGAATTTAATAGATATTACTACACATACCACTTCCTACATCCGTGATCCAGACAGACTGTTCATGTAGTGTACTGGCTGCAAATATACCATGAGGTGTGTCAACTGTGTAATTCCAGGATCGTAGGAAATATCCATCCTCTGTGAACACTAATACCTTTGGGATGTTATCCCCTCTCTGAAGGCATATAAAAATAGCTGCTTAGATAGGATCAGTTTTTAGAAAGTAATCTTTATTTTGGTAGAGAGAAACAAAAACTGAAGGTTAATCGAGAAATTTAATGCTTAAAAAAAGAGCTTCAAAACCTAACGATATTAATATCTACTACATTCAAAACCTAAGTATTTACTTAACACCAACTCAAAAAAAACAAACTTCACAATTAGCATAATATAAAAACATATGGTTACTTAGTACAGCAAAACAAGAAAAAACTGCTTCGTTTGTGTTCATATTTTTTTCTTCTGAATTCCAATTTTACTAACCTGGGCTATGTAAACCAATCCGCTGAGCGAGTCAATTGCAACACAAAATGTTGCTCCAGTAAAATACTCTGAATGCTTAGGCCAACCCACATCCAGCCGGTAAGGAATTTCCTTGGTTCTCCAGGAAATTTGAAAAGCAAATTTCCTTAAAACCTTAAAAAAAAAAAATTCAGAACATTAAGATTCAGTTTACCCCCTACGTTAAGAAAAGAAAGAAAGAAGAAAAAAAAGTTATTTTTAAGCATGCCTTGACAGCTGGCACAGAAGTGTTGAGACTGCTGGATAAAAATGATTCAGAAGAAATGGGTTTATAAGTCTAAAGACCAAAGCGATCACAATACAAATCCGCAAATTACTGGAAGATGTAGTGGGATCTAGGGAAAGAAAGAAAACGGGAAAATGGCGAGATCGCATATACAAACTTTTTAAGACTAAGAGACAAAACAAGACATCGGCAGTTCCGCCTCCGGGGCAGCTTTTGGAAAAGACAAGCTAGTGCGGGAGCCAGAGCCCGCCACCTCCATCCCACGACAGCGGCGTCGCCTCTCAATAGTGCTATCCACACACCCGACAGATATTTCTTCACTGCTCAACTCACCGGGGAGCCACAGAAACGCGCATGCAAAACCAAAAATCCAAGAAAGAGGCCCGCGCCGGCCAGGCAGACCCAGAATCTCGCCATGACGAAACCGTAGGGTCTGCAGGCGGCTGGGGGCTACCAGACTGCCTCAGATCCACACGGTTCTTCGCTGTACACGGCGTCCGCCCACCTCCGAGCCGAAGGAACTATCTCCAACTACGCCTCCCTGAATGTGCGGGGCTTGAGAACCAGACCCGGGTGAAAGAAAGTCAGAACTCGGGTAGCGGTTTCCGGGATCGTTCCCCGGTCTACGCCCCCAGGTCACGTGGCTCGCGCTGACCCACTAACCACCCCTTTTTTCCCCTTGGGGCGGTCCACGCGGTGGACTTCTACGGTCCGCCAAAAATAAGGGCATCCGTAGATATGCCTTAGCCACTCGGAGTTCGTGTTTCTTTTTTTTTAATTCAGATTGAGAAAACAGAGTCAAGCATAATCAAACCCAAGACATAGAGATGTGATGTTGAAAAAGTGACTTTTAGGCTCTGAGAAAGATTTCAGCTGCATCAGATACAGAGCCATCTAGGCATTCGTCATGAACACCTACGTTCCCACACCAGGACCCCCTCCGTTGGCTTTCGGGAAAGAGAGGCCTAAGCTGTCGGCGCAGAGTTGAGTTTACTGGGGCGCGACGGGTTTCTTTAAAGGCCCCCAGGAGCCGGTGGGAGCTGTAGGGGTAACCAGGCAAGGCTCTAGACGCTGTGGGCGCCGCGGTACTCAGGAGTCCCCCTGCTGGAGAGCGTGCCCCCCTTCGCCCAGCTCCTGGTGCTCTCCGGCCGCCGGCCCGCTCCCGGAAACCGTGGCAGCTGGTAACAAAGAGCCCGCCAGGCCGCCGCTGCCCGGGCTGCGGGACCCAGGAGCCGGCGCAACTGCTGGGGTTGAGCGCAAGTCGGGCCATGAGTCCAGGTTCGCGGCGGTGAGGGGCGGCGGCTGGCGGCCGAGGCGCTCGTGCGGGCCGAGAGGCGGGTGCCTCCTTCCTCGCCGCCCGCGGGAGCCGGGGTACAGGTGCCTCTCCTCTCCCACACAGGAGAGCGGCTTCACGACCTTTCTCCGGCGGCGCCTGGCCTTCAACTGCAGGAGATCGAAGCTCAGCTCCGGCTGCCAAACCCTGGATTTTTCTGTAGGACTCAGAGAGCACCGGGTTCTTACCCGAGGTGTCCTGAAGCTTTGTGTGAAGAAGCTGAGGAAACCCGACGGTTTTTGTTTTTAATAAAAAGTTTTTATAAGTGTGCATTTTTAGAGAATTTTGCAGAGTTTGAAGTACTCTCTACCTCTTCGCACCCTTTTTCTTGCTCCTGGAGTCTTTTCTTCTCAGCTATAAACATTTCTATTATTGGAGCAGACCAGGGATGAACATTTTGTAATTGAAAGTGTAACTTAAAACCACGTCGAGACTGTAGTCAAGATGGACAAAAAGTCCTTTGAAACGGTGTTGGATGAAATTAGAAAGGTAATTTCACTTAATTTCTTAAACCAGTCTATGAGCTACGAATTCTCGTAGTTAATCCTTTTTGAGGGACTGCGGGCAGTTTGTGCAAGATATGGTTTAGGATTGCGAAATAGATGGAATGTGAACGTACAGTATGGGAGCTTGTAGCTTGATATATTTCACTGTGCAAATAGAAATTAAATTATGTTAATGTTAAACTTGACTCTCAAGTGCGGTATTGTGGAAATTATATCAAAGGGTTCTCATTCCCAAGCCGGCTCTACAAATCATTGCAAGCCCTGTACTTGCGGAGTGGTTTAATATTTCTGAACTGATCACTTCATCTTTCAGTGACCTAAAGACTGAAAACTGGAGGTAATACGTATAAAATTTCTTTAATGGTAGTTATTATGGCAAGTTTTTCAAATCTGAAGATAGGCAGACTGTGCGTTGCCTGGACGGACAAAATTAATGTCCAAAAGGTCTTAGGTTTAAAGTCATCTTTAGGAGTGGGCTTCACTAACTTGAATTTCAAAACTTTTTCTTCCTGCTTTCCAAATTTTTGCTTCGTTTCGAGACTGTTGTATGTAACCTACCTTCCAGAATGAGCCAGATAGCAAAAAAAAAAAAAAAAAAAAAAATTGGAATGTAGCCCTTAGCCTAAAAATACCTAAAGCACAAAAGTAAGAAGTTTACCTGATTAAAAGTGGAATTCTTATGCTAATACAGGGTGCTTTGCTTAGAATTTCAGGGTGAGTATCTTTCCATTTCCGTACCTTTAAGACCCTTGACTGACAGGGAAGGATTTGTTACTTTATGCTTCAGCTTATGAAATTATTAATAAAATTGCCTGTGGGGGCCCCTCCATGGCTCAGTCGTTTCAGCTTCAGCGTCTGTCTTCATCTCCATGTTCCTGGGATTGGGTCCCACATCCGGCTCCCTGCTCAACGGGAAGCCTGCTTCTCCCTATAAGCCCCCCCACTGCTTGTGATCTCTTTCACTCTTTCTTTCAAATAAAATCTTTTAAAAAACCAACTTCAAAAAACTGCATTTGTACATGCCGTTTTTCTGCATTGTCTATAAAGCAAAATGTTTTTCTTCATCCTTCATAAGGCTTTTTTTTTCAAATTCATGTTAAATTTACACATTTGATGATGTTGAATGTTCTTTTTGAACAAAACTGCTTTTGCAAGTCCAGTTTGTGTAATTAAGATTTGTACTAAAATGTCAGCTTGCCAAATACATGTTTAAAATTTGTAACAATTTGTTCATGAGCTGATACTTAACTATTGTTTATGAGGAAGTAGACCAGCAGATTTCTACTTTTGGAAGCTATAGGATGCAATTTGCATATGTTCTCCCTTCTTCTTGTGAGAAGATCATGTAGTAAATACTAGTGAGGAATGTAGGATATTTTCCAGAGATGAAACTCATATATGAGAGAGCAATTTACATTCTTATTTAAGTCCTTCTTTCTGGTCTGCAGGCAAAATACCTTTTGCTGTCTATGCCAAATAATTAGATTCATCACCATTGTCTTAGTATTAAAATGGGATTAAAATGTAGACGTATGTAAGTGAGAATTAGTATTGGTTTTTTTAAAAAAATTGCTCTCAGACTTTGTAAATGTAAGTTGGTTTAAACCAGGTAATCACTTCCTGGCATTACATCTCAACAGTACATTCTCTAGAGTACGTTATCAGAAATGCCATTCTCTCCCCTTCACCTCCCTTTTCAGTGAAAATTAAACTATTAAACTACTGGGCAACGTGGATGTTTCTTTCAGTTAACTGGTCATGATATTTTCTCCTAGCAAAGTGAGGTATATGCCAAGTACAAATATTGTTTTGCAGTAAAAGCAAAGGGATCAGTTGGTTTTTTAATGATTAGTAGTTACCAAATTATGATTGTTTCCATCTCTAAGCTCTGCAAACAAGTTGCAAGGAAAGCATATATGATTTCAGCTGGTTCTAGATAGTGCTGGGTCAAGGCCCCTATCAATGGGAAGTTCAAAGAGAAGTACAGAGGCCTTGTAAGGAAAGGAACCATCATTTACTGAGCATAATTTACTGAGCAATAGCAAAACTATTGATATGTCTCTTCTTGACTATTTTAATCTTAATGTGGGTAGTGAATGGTGTTCCCCTTTTATGGGTAAAAAGATTCTCAGGGTACTTAAAATGAGTTTCAAAGGCCACACTGCATGCACACAGATTGAATTGAAGGCCCTCTTTGGCTCCTTGGGTTCTTATATCCCCGTGTAAATACTTGTCATTCACATTTCTCTATTAGCACATAACAGCTGCTCAGTAACTGTTGAATGAATAATGCCTGATATAATAGTCTTCTTAAAAATGACAATTTGGTTGAAATTGGGATGTAAATTACATTTACAGGAATTCTGTTTGTTATTTGTAGTAATGTCAGATCTTGTCTATTACAGTTCTGTTCCTTTTCATTGTAGGAGTGAGTAGGGAGGCCCGGAGGTTTTCCTGCTGTCTCAGTGTATCCCTTAACAGCATGGAACCTGGAAAGGTAGAATGTCATGTCACTATAGTGACTTTAGCTGCCTCTTTGTGCTGGGGCTGAAGAAGGTCTGCCATGTTTGAGTTGCTTAGGTAGTTTTGATAATATGCATATTACTGTTTTGCTTACATATATTAATGCTGTTTTTCTGTGTTTTTTTTTTTTAGGCTGTTCTGACAGAGTATAAATTAAAAGCAATTGAATATGTGCATGGATATTTCTCTAGTGAACAGGTATTTCTTGTATTTGTTTAAGCAAAAGTGTTTTTTTATTTTTTTCTTTACTCTGACAGTTCTGTTTAAAGTCTATTTAACTGCTGGTCAGGTTCAGAATTGCTTTTACTTTGTTTGTTGCTGTATTTATTTAGAAACATTAGGAGCTTTCAAAATGATAGACAACTTCGCAGAATTTATAGTTTGAGTATTTTATAAACATAGCTACTTTCACTGATTTTAAAATGTGATGTCCAAGAAAAGCATATTTATCATTCTGGGCACAATATCATAAATTTATAAGCTTCTAATGGTAAGCATAGCCAAATTTGTACAGAATTTATAAATCAGTAATAACAAAATTCACTACACGTTAAAAAGAAAACTCGAACAAATGGTGAATTATAGTTCTTATATGAAGTCACTACATAAAAATTTTAGCCATAAGAAAAGAAAATACAGGGTCTAATAAGTAGTTTCTGTCATTGCCAGCAGAGTAATGTTTTAAAGTTTAGTTGAAAACTCACCCGGCTTCAGGGGGAGTTTGATAGTTTAAAAAAAATGTATGCATGTACATATGTACATGCATACATAGAGAAACCAGATTTCTGAGGAATACTTTAAAAATATTTGATGCAGAAATAGAAAATATTTGATACAGAAATATTTGATACAGAAAGAGAAATGTGCATTTGGAGAAGAGTTCTGGGAAAGGGTCGGAATGTGGAGAGGATAAGTGGATCAGTCTGTTTTGGAGTTAGTAAATACTCCAACTTTTCATCTGTTTCTCCAGACTTTCAAAACTTGAACTTTGAATAACTTTAAGCCTGTTGAAGTTCTGGCTGCTAAATCCTTAAAAGCTGCTCTATGATTTGCATGTCTTGCTGCCTATTTAATGGGTGTTTTTCAGCTGTCCCATTACTTTTTAAAAAATCACCTTATGCTGTATTTAAATGTTTTGGAAAGGTTTATAATGTCTCATAGGTAACTTTTCTTTTCTTCTCTTGACTGTGTTTGTATGTGTGAAATTTTGTAGAAAACTTCCCTTAGTGGTTATTGCATTTTGCTACAGTCACTGAAAACTTTAAAAAACGAAAAGCTACTTGCTCGGTATGACCTGCTAAGCCTACTTACTGTATTGAAGGTTTTTCTTCCTATTATCAGGCATATGATAGTTGGCGACTTTTTTTGGTTGATTAAGTGGCAGGTAGCGTTTACTAAAAGGAAAACCATTATTCCCATGAAAGCGAGGAAAGTACGCATAATACCCATTTGTGATTTAGGCATCACATTATAAGGAGTAAAAAGTATTTTTACTCTTCTTCATATACTACTCCAGCCTCTAGCATTAGTTTTGCTTTGTAGAATAATTGAAACCTTAACACATTTTCAGGAAGTTATGGTAAAAGAATTCATTAACCCAGATTTCATTACCCTCTCTTCTTTGAGTCATTCCTTTTTTAACTTTTGGAGATCCCTTGGAATCAGTGAACAGGGTGGTGGTGACTACCCAGGGACTTCACTACTGTGACCTTGATGCCCTCCTCACCTCCCACTGGCTGTCTCACATTATCTCCCTCTTTCATTTGAAGTTCGGTGGTAGTGATGGGAGAGCCTGGCTAACTGTGCTCTCAAAGTGACCTACTTACTGTTTAGAAGCTGCTAGAGTAAGTATGGTAATTCTTACATTTTTAGGGAAGAGATCTGTAGTGTAAACACAAGTACTGAGCCCCTCAGACTCAAGGGAAAGAGCAGGAGATGGTGGACCTACACTAACCACACCCCTGAACACCCTTTTGTGACTTATCATAAATGTCACCCTATATTTTTAAAGTTTTCCATTTGTAATATAGCTTTATATTTCTAACCTGACATTTTGTCTCCATCTAATACTTTTTCGATCTTCCTTTTCTTTAGGTACTTTTTCCTGTACTTTATACTTTCCGTTTATTTCTCTACCAGTGCTGCCCCAGACTCTGTGATGATGGAAGTGTTCTCTTTCTGCACTGTCCATTGTGGTAGCTACCTACTTCTTACAGCTGTTGAGCACTTAAACTGTGGTTTGTGCCAGTAAGGAACTGAGTAGTATTTCAAAGTACTGAAACAAATCTTGTAGAAATATTTGCAAACGCATTTCATTAGAGCTAAAGTAATTCTTTGCTTTCAGGTGGTTGATTTACTGAGATACTTCTCCTGGGCTGAACCTCAGTTAAAGGCAATGAAAGCATTACAGCATGTAAGTAACTTATTTTTCTTTAGAATGTAGAGTTTAAGTATTTTGAATTCTCCCCTAGTTTTCTCTAACTGACCCCAAGTTGTAATTTGTTTGCATTAGAAAAACTGACCCTAAATTTTATTATACTTTATTATATTTTTATAGTAATCAAATAATCACTAAAAAATTAAGAGTTCCCAAACTGAATTTAAATTGTATGTATTAAATTGTACACCATAGGATCCTAATTGGCATATTGGAAGAGGAAATATTTATAGGCAAGCAAAGCATAGAATTTGAATTCTTAAGTGTTTTTATGCACTTCCTTTTCTATTTTTGGTATCTTTATCCTCTTGTATTTAGTCTTAGAACAATAGTCAAATGAGTTTATATTCTTTAGACCTGCACTATCCAAATGGACTTTTAGCAATGATAGAAATGTTTTATATCTCTGCTATCCAGTATGGTAACCACTAGCTACACATGGCTTTTGAGCATTTAAATGTGTCTAGTCTGCCTGTGGAACTGTATTTTTAATTTTATTTAATTTTAATTTAAACAGTGCCTAGTGGCTACTGTACAGACAGCACAGCTCTAGAGCCTAAATTAACAGAGGCATTAAAGTCAAACAGTATCTGGCTAGGTAGGAAGATTTTCCTTGGATTATAAGTGATAGCTAGTTTTAAGGGAATCTACAGATCCTTAGCTTCCTAAACTAATTAATTTGCTGAAAAAAAGTGGCCGGATCTGTTAGCGCTTCTCCTCTTCAGCAGTTAGATTTTATCGACTCTCCAAAAATAAGGTTATCTTACCCATCCACCCATCACCTGACGGTAAAAATCTTTTCCCAAGGACCAAAGAGACCATGTAATCCCCTACGAGTGAAGCAAAGCAGAAAGCTTCTATAAGAAAGACTGATGGGGACCTCTCCTTACTTTATCTAGACAACAAACTCACGACAAAGCTCTGAGGCCTGCTTGCTTTTCTACCTGCTTTAGATTTAAAATTCAGAGGTGAGAAGGCTAGCATGGGCACAACTTATAAGTAGCCTTTGCTGACAAACTGAGTCTGATTTGGTTGTTTTCACACTGAAGACTAACCTTTACAATTAGGTTATACAATAGACATTTCCGTAAGTGAGATAAATGAATAGTTCCCAAGTTTTTACAAATATATAATGAACAATATAAATCAATTTTTTGTAAATATTTAAACTTGTGGTATAGTTTTTAGATGTCAGTTTAAAAACTTGCAAGGGGGTATATAGTTTTACCAGTTCTTTTGGTGCTACCTGAATGAAATTGTCTGAACAGCATTGCCCTAAGTTTTAGGAATCAACTGGGTGTTGATTCTAAATGATCTTCTTGCAATGACTTTGCTTTTAAATTTCTTCCACTGTTAACATAAATCTGTAAATTGACAGAACCTTATCTTCAAAAGCACAAGTACCCTAGTCAAATTGCACACCATCTTCTAGTGTCACAGTTAATATTAATATAGGACTCTTAAGAAAATTCTGCAGTAAAGAATCCTGTTTAACCCATCTTTTCCCTACCTGAGTTGACTGTAGTACCCTTTTTTAGTAACACTATTCAGCACCATGGACCTCACTTAAGGAAGCCCTGACTACAGAATGCTTAGCGCTTTAACTAAGGAATGTAATTTTTCCTAACTTCTCAAGCATTATATCTCCCAAATTATAAATACCCCCTTTTTTAGAACCTTTCTGAGGAAATTACTACCTGTAAATAATTTTTTTTCTATAAATAAATATGTTGAGAGATGTGGATGGAAAAAGCACATAGGGGGACTTAGATCTTCAACTGAAATAGTTAAATTGAAAAAGTCTAAGTTTAAGTCACATAGTTGTTAGGACTTACTTTTGAATAAGTAGTTTCACCTCAAATACTTAAATATTAAGAACATTTAACTATATTTTCCTCAAAATGGCAATGTCTGGCATGAAAATTTCTCATGTTGAAAATTAAATTATTTTTTATATTAACAGAAAATGGTGGCTGTTCACCCAGCAGAAGTGGTCAATATACTCAATTGTTTCACCTTCAGTAAAGACAAGCTAGTTGCTCTTGAACTGTTAGCTTCGTGAGTATTTCTTTTTCTTTTTACTTTATTGGAGAAGATTTGGAAGACTTGAAATGTCTTTTAACTCATTAGTGTGTATTAATGTCTCAGAATTATATTAGTAAATGGGACTCAAATCTGTGAAACGGTAGACTAAATTTTTATATCTAAATATCTAGGGGCGCCTAGGCGGCCTAGTTGGTTGGGCGTCCAGCTCTTGATTTCAGCTCAGGTCATGATATTAGGGTCGAGATCAAGCCCCGCCTGGGGCGCCACTCTGAGTGTAGAGCTTGCTTAAAGATTTTCTCTCTCCCTCTTCCCCTCCCCTTCCCTTCTCCCTCCCCCAACTTGCACATGCTCTCTCTAAGGGAAAAATAAATAATTAAATATCTAGCGTGCTTATTACACATGGTTACAACGTAAAAATAATGGGGGCATACTGAGATGATGATTTGGTTTGTCTTCATTTCAGGACTTCCATTGCCTTCCGACTCTGAGTAGTTTGAAAGGCTCATTGAGAAGGCCATAGGTTTTATAGTTAGGTTCTGTTACATGTACTTATTCTTTCTGGACCTTATTTTCCTCAGTTGTAAAGTCAAGGATCTCACCTACTTAATAGCATATGCGAACTTTAAATCCTGGAAGATCTGTGCAAACACTAAGCATAGCATTTAATAATGATCATAAGGAATGTGAGCTCCACCATGCTCTTCTGCATGATGGAAGACTCTGTAGATTGCTGTTCATTTAGAGCACTTGCATTTTTAAGTCCCTTGTGTGTTTATAGATGTCCACAAAAATACAAAATTAAAGCAGAAGGTAAAACTTCATTTTTAGATCAACCATTATTTTTATGCATTTGGTACATGGATTTTTTTCTATTGCCGTAGATTTCCACTCATTGAGAGGGTATATTTTCAAAAATCCCATGATTTTTGTTCATAGAATTACTGCATTGCTTTTAGGTAACCAGCTGAACCTCAGTTCATTTATATTTATCATTTTTATAAAAATGTGGTTTACATTCACCAATTAAAAATAAATCACTTTCCTCCATATGTCCTGGGGGGAAAGGTTACTCAGATATAGTTGTTTGGTAAAGGTTGTTGGCATTGATATGTATGTCCAGGTTCTTAAATGAAAAGCTCAATTGCATTTCCTTGGTAGAAACATTGTTGATGCACAGAATTCTCGTCCCATCGAAGATTTATTCAGGATAAATATGTCTGAGAAGAAACGATGCAAGAGAGTACTGGAACAGGTAATTTTCTCAAGATTGCTATATAAATAGAACAATGGGTTTTTCTGAATTTTGATGGAGGAAAAAAGTACCAGTCTCATTCCTGTATGAACTGTGATGAATAACCTGACGGCTCTTTAGAATGGGTCAAGATGGCATCCCTTCGCTCATTGTAGGACAGGAGCTGGGTGAAGGGGTTCAACGGGATGAGGAAAGGGCTTGAAAGTGAGACGCCAGTTGGCTCCTCAGCTTTAGCGTCAGCAGGTGTTTATTCTTGGTCCTTTGGTAGCTTTGCCACGGCTCCAAGCTTTTGTCTTTAACCTATGTATATAGGAACATGACATTTTGAATTTGTTTTGTCATCAGTCTTACGTTATTCACATTTGTAAGAGAGGGGTGATAAAGCAAAGTTCCAGTTTATTAATTTAAGATCTCTGAGAATGGGAGGAGTAGCATGTACCTAAACCTACTTGACTTCAGTTGTCAGTTAAGGTAGTTATTTTGTAGGATTGTGATGGCTGGAAACAGAATTAATGATTTAGAAACCTGGTTGAGGAAGATGTGCACTAGTCTCCTAGGGCCTTGTAGCCCAAGCATTTTTAATCCTTGCACCCTCTGCTAAGCTCAGGGGTAGCAGAGAACTTGGCCTACTCATGAGCTTTTTTGTAGCAGAAGCAAGACCTGAGCCGCATTTCTTTAATAAGTTCTCCATTGGTTTTTCTTGACTAAATTTTTTAAGGCACCATGAATTTACTGCTGTTGTTTTCTTCCTTATAAAGCGTTCTGATCATGTCAGAAATAATGTGGTCCTGAGTATTTTCCTTCTGAGAAATAATGTAGGCCTGAGTATTCTGTGGAATAGATTCTCTGGTCAGTATAACTTAGTACAACTTTTCTGGAAGCTAAACTTGAAGAGCCTTAAAATGTTCATGCCTTCTGACCCCAAAAATTCTATTTCTAGGATTTATTCTAAGGAAAGAAAAAAGTAATTTGTATGTAAGGGTATTTTCTTTGGTACTATTTATAATAACCAAAGATTGGGATAATTTTTAGGGTTGGGGGTTTAGTAGGTGACTGGATTATATAGCTAATTATGTGTGTTTTGAATGAATTTATGAAACCAGTATCTCTCTATAACAAATGTGAATGAATTTATAAAACCAGTATATCCCTACAATAAAATCCTACATACTTATAAAACGGTATATAGCTTCATATCCTTATAGCATAATATATATTTATTAAAATATATGTCACAATGTAGTGTTTTTCATCATTTAATATTTATTAAATATGAACTCAGTATTTGTTACTGTATCATTGTAAAAGCTGAGAATGCAATAATAAATAAGGTAGAACATCCCTTAACATGTTTCATGATTATGTAATGCTATGTTGAATATAGTATATGTAAATAACTCTTGCTTTTTCAACAGTACAGTTCTTTGGATACCCAGTGTCCCATGGTATTTGTTTGTGTTTTTCTCCACTAAGTTCTAAACTTCTTCAGAGCAGAGTCCATGTCTCTTTCATCTGCTGCTCTCCTTTTCTTCCTGTAATGTGTTTGGTGTTTGTACGTATGGACATTAGTTCTTGGTTTGGAGAAATGGGACATACTAAATAGTAAATGAACTTGTTTGCCCACAATTTGCAACATCTGCTGTGGAGATATCTTTGTATAGGAGTCTATTAGTTGTGGCTAATAGAAAACTAATTAAAAAACATTATGTTACCTCTATAATAATACCATTTAAATAAAGTGATTTTACTTTGAATTCTGGTCATGTTCACTACTGTAATTGCTGATGAATGCACGAACAGATTAATGTGATACTGTTCTTAATTCATATTTTTAACAGGGCCTCCAAATATCCAGAATACTTAACCTATGAGTAAATTTGGTTATTTATTTATTTATTTATTACCACTATCTTGTCTTTTGTTACAGGCTTTTAAGGGGGGCTGCAAAGCTCCTCATGCTATGATATCTTCTTGTGGGACGATCCCAGGAAATCCATATCCCAAAGGAAAACCTAGCCGCATAAATGGAATTTTCCCAGTAAGCATATGTTTGTGGGTATGAGAAACTTGTTGTAGCTGACTATCAAGTTTAGCATAATTATGATATTTAAAGAAAATGCTAGTTGATGGTCCTTCCACTAAGGAAAGGAATTTTATTAGGTCAGCAGCTTAATTCATGGATTCACCACTGATCGAAAGTTCATGTATTACTCCATTAAAGTATTTGTGTGAAATGTACAGAAGAATAAGACAAACATAAAAGAGGATGATTTTGTTTTGCTTTTCCAAGTATTTTAGAAGCACTGCTTTGCATTTAGGAAAGGAGCATTACTCAAATTTTCAGTGTTCCTCAGACGGTTTCACAGTTGAGTATGTTTGAGAAATTGTATGCAATGTTTCTTTCTTGGACAGTCACACTGCATGATAAAGGCTCTGAGAAGTCCAATAAGAAAGAAACCTGTTTTTATACCCTCCAGTGTTCTTCAGATGTCTTTGTAAAATAATCTTTGCAAAGAGTGCTATATTTTGATTGCAGTGTAACAAGTAACCCTGAAACTCAGTGGTTTATAACTAAAGATTATTTTATACAGTTTCTATGAATCTGGAACTTGGGAGTGGCTTACGTTGGTTTTGGCTCAGGGTTTTTCATGAGACTGCAGTCTTTTGGGAGCTTGAGTAGAGCTTGAGACTATGCTCTGAAGGGGGCTCAGGTACATGTCAGGCAAGTTGGTGTCAGTGGTTGGAAGGGGGTCTTCATTCCTCACTGTTAGGCCCTGCCCGTAGTGCTGCTTGAATACCTCATGACATGGCAGCTGATTTCCACAGGAGCAAATGGTCCAGGGGAAGGCAAGTGCAAGCTGTGTTGTCTCTTGTGACTTAGTCTTGGAAGTCAAATGCCACCATTTCTGGAATATCCTATTTATTATGTAGGCCAGTCCTGTTCACTCAGGAAGGGGACTTCACAAGGGCATGTAGGAGGTGAGGACATCTGGGGGCCATCTTGGAAGTTGGGTTCCCTACTTGTATGTGCTATTTAGGCACACGCTCTTAGGAGGACACATTGTGGCAGTCTGTCAGCTTATTCTGATCTGTTAACAACAACAGTCTTGAATGAGGTTTCATCACTTGATGCTTATAGAGACCATCATTTTTTGTCATCTATTTTTAACTGTAATACAGGTACTGTTTTTTGATTCTTTGACCATTATACATACTGTTTTTGATTCTTTGACCATTATACATACTGGCACGTTGGAAGTGGTCACTCCTATTTTGCAGGGGAAAAATTAAAACCTACGTTATCCTGCTCTTCTGTCATCCCCTTGTGAGTGGTATACTTGTTTCTGAGTGTCTCTGTACATGTGGTGAAGCTTCTCTGGTAGAGGAAGGTTGAGGACCTTAGCAGGGTCTTAAAGCCAAGGCAGGACTGGATCTGGAATCCAGGTCCTTAAACTCCTACCAAATTAAGTCTTTCTCTTCAGTATAATACAGTGAGGGTTTTGTTTTGTTTCTCCTTTGGTTTTGTTTTTTTAAGTCTCAATTATCTTTCTTTGTATTTTTTTATTTATTTAAATAGGGAACCCCCTTGAAAAAAGATGGTGAAGAATGTACTAATGAAGGCAAAGGAATAGCTGCACGGATTCTTGGACCGTCCAAACCGGTATGTTTAGAGAATAAATGATGACACGGGCCTTAACTCATACATGTAGTTTTCTGTCTGTTCACAGCACATGGCATCAGTTCTGTTTTTGTGTTGTAAAATTCACAGTATACTAGAAACTCAAGGAAAGTGAATGATCTAGGGAACTATAGCATAATTAACAGTGTTCAGGGCCCTTCTGAAGTTTCTTGTTTTATTTTCAAGTGGAACCAGTCCAATTGTTTTGTTTTGCTTTGTTTTGTTTTCCCCATCCCTGTTCAGCTGCTCCCTTGAAGGGAATGGAGTGTGCAGTATGCTTTGAGGTTGTGGTTTGGCCAAATTAGTATTAATAGTAGTGAATCAAGAGTGGAGCCCGGAGGTTGAGAGTATTTTTAAGGGAGCGATTGTGATTGCTTAGGGTATCAACTGAACCCAAAGACAGCCCTGTAGATTGAAGGGATTGCTCTAGCTGAACTGGGAGAGGCCTTTTTACAGCCGTCTTGCATCCTGCTTGTTTGCCTGACAGGAGCTCCAGTGACAGCTGTTCATAGCATAACAGCCACAGATCCTAGCCCTTGCACAAGGCTAGTGCATCTTACAGGCCACCATGTATGAGACCTACAGAGAATCTAGGTCCTTTACTGCCACTGGATCCCCTCTGCAGGAGTGCCAGCTCCCCAGAGCAGGGTCTCTTTCTCTCTCTCTCACTGGAGTTAGAAGTACAGCAAGCTTAGCTCTGGATACCTCTGGTTCTCTAGAGACCAATTCCTGGGATGCTTTTGTTACATAGTTCTGTCAACTACAAAATAAAAGATCCATGGATTTCAAAGGCAAAAAGACTAAAATACTGAATTCATAATCCCAGTTTACATTCTACTCAAGTTGTCAAAGTGCTGAATGCTGAAGAACATAGGACTTTGTTCTTCCAAGGAGAAAAGAGGGTAAGAATGGTAAGAGGAATCTCTGATGAATTTCGGAGGATGTTGGAAATTCTTGGGTAGCCAAGGTTCCTAAACCTAGTGGATTTCTTGTGTTACAGAGGAGGAGATAAACATTCTTGGATTAAGTTCGGCTCAGTCAGGGGAATTTGCTATTTAGGATAAGGTCTGACCCTTCATTGGAGATGATTTAATCCTGAAAAAAAAAATAATAAACCCGTCCACAGCAGTCTTTGGCAGGCTCTGTCTTTGAAATTTATAAGAACCACATTTGGTAAAGCAAAGAAATTTCCCTCACTTGTGCTATGTATTAGGCCAGTAGCATTTCATATGCTGGAGCTTTGTTAGCCTCTTACAACTAAATGTTTTAAAGACAAGTTGTATTTTGTTTGCTGGAAGCCCGCTGACTTAGTTTACTTCTAACCGCTCTAATTCCCCCTCATCTAGCCTCCTTCAACGTACAATCCACATAAGCCTGTTCCTTATCCAATACCTCCATGCCGGCCGCATGCAACCATTGCACCAAGTAAGCAGTTCAATTTGTGCTTTACTTTGTTTCTTTTTGCCTTTTATTAAGTGGAAGGTTAATGTTGGTATATCTACTTGGGAAAATTGGAACATTTGTGAAATATGCTCTGCTGAATTTAATTCTGTCCATGGTGGGCTACGCAGATTCTTGGTCTACAGCAGTGCAGCAGACAGAGTTCAGGACACTTGCCTTTTGATAAGTTCCTTATAGATTCTTTTTAATCATTATTATGGGTTTTCACTTTGGTAAATCATCATGAATCCCTTTTCAGTAGTTGTGTTCGGAGGTATCCTCAGTACATCTGACTTTAAAAGGTCAACTGTATGTGCTTGACAGAAGAGGCAGGTAATTGAAGTATGGCAGGATCTTCCTGCCCGGCCACTCAGCGAGCTTATGTCTGGAATGAGCATGCAGTGGGAAGTCAGAATATCCAGCTGTCTCATTTGATCTCAGCTTTGTCCTTACCCCAGATCCAGACCTCTGTGTGAAATGCAACTCACATTATAAGAGCAGTTTTAAAAATTAGATAGCTGTGTTAATATGCTTTGAACTCTTTGCCACAGAATGATACTAAATTTTTTTTTTACTATGATTTCATTTTAGGTGCTTATAACAATGCAGGTCTCGTCCCATTAGCCAACGTCATAGCTCCGGGTGTACCCCCTCCACCTCCATATACTCCTAATCCAGTAGGAACAGGTAAAATCATGTTAAGGGGTACTAAAATTACACACTTAAACACAGATTACACGTGGAGGGGCCAGTTGTTTGACATGGTGTGTGCTGGCGGGGGAAGGAGCTCACAAGCGTGATGACGGATTTGAGTGGGATATACAGGCTCCACTGGAGCGGCCTTGGCTCACCTGTGTGAACACGAGCAGGCTGTAGACAAAAGAACCATTTCTCATGAGCGAGAAACTCTGGCAGGCTATGGAAAAGTATGGTTCACTTGATGAGTATTACCATTAGGGGGCGTTACTCCTGTGGGGAGGAAAGGCCTGTAAGAAGGTGCTCCGAGGGGCTTACCCTTTCCCCTGCACTTTTCAGTTCAGCATTTTCCTTTGAGTCTGTTGGGAACATGGGATTAGCTTACATTTTCATTTGTGTGTCTTACAAAAATTTAATTTTCATTTCAGTTAGGTATTGTTTGATCCTTCTGAGTTTAAGTCTTCCCTAGGAAACCCTTCCCCATCCTGGCAGGACGAAAATGTCATCTGTATCCTCCAATTACTTTTATAGGGTTTCTTTTTTAATGTGTAACTTTTATCTATTTCTAGGTATGTGCAGGGTAGGGATAGAACTTAATTTTTTTTTTCTGCCCTTCCCACAGACTCGGAGTTACTTGATAGCATTTATTCACAAATTCTTTTTTTTTTTTTTTTAAGATTTTATTTATTTATTTGACAGAGATCACAAGTAGACGGAGAGTCAGGCAGAGAGAGAGAGAGAGAGGGAAGCAGGCTTCTTGCTGAGCAGAGCCCGATGCGGGACTCGATCCCAGGACCCTGACGTGACCTGAGCCGAAGGCAGTGACTTAACCCACTGAGCCACCCAGGCAACCCTCACAAATTCTTTTTTACTAGCCAGAGTGGTTCTGTTGTTTGCAGCTGGGTACTCCGATAAGCGTTACTAAACAATTTGCCCCAAAATTTTCGTTTTATTTCTTAACCCTTGTTTATGGTATCTTTAGCCCTTAGAGTTTTACATTTTTGCATAGAGAAAGAGAAGCTATGAAAGAAAAGCTGGAACTATTTTGTCTTGTTTCAGGTCTTAGCCCTTAACCCTAGGGAGTCCTGGTGACTTGGATCTTAAAAGGCCTTACTGCATCTGGAATTTATTTTCATACAGGGTGAAATAGAGGTTCATCCTAATTTTTTTCCAGATGGTAGCCTGTCATGCCAGCACCACTTATTAACTCATCTACTTTTCCCACTGATCTGAAAGGCCGCATTTAAATTTTCATATATACACATGGTTATAATTCTGGGTTCTTTATTCTATGCAGTCTACTTATTTCATGTTATGATGATATATTGATTTGACTAGCAGATTTATTCTATGTTCTGGTATCTAGTAAGGCTAGCTTTTTCCTCTTACTGTGGTTTTTATTTTTCTTACTATATTTGGAGATTTTTTTTCTATCTGAATTTCAAGATTATTTTATGTAGTTAAAACAGTTGAATTTATGTGTGCATGTATATAACATACAAAATATATCCTATAGATGTTATATAATTACATATTACATTATTCTAATATTATATAATTATAACAATATATAATAATTATATGTAGTTACATATATTAATTTGGGGAGATGTGATGTTCTTATGATACTAAGTCTTACTCTTCAGTCGTACGTATGCTTTATATTATGTCAGGCGGTAGTGTTTTTCCTCCAGTGTTTGTTTTATCTCTTTTAAGAAGATTTTATAGTTTTCTTTATGTAGGTTCTTTGCCTTCAGATTGTCTCTAGAGACTTTAGAGGTATTTTTCATCAAAATTATAAATGGAACATTTCATTTCTAGGTGCTCGTTCCTAGTTAGTTATTCTACTTTCTTTTTCTTGAAAGTCTCAAGTTTTCTAAGTATAAAAAAAGTCAGCTGAGTTATACTTTATTTCTTTTTTGCCTGGCCTTATTGGGTATTAATATTGTCCTAACCTTTTTGTAAGTATTTTGCTTTTATCTTTACTTTCAGTTTTTATTTTAATTTATTTGGTAAGTTAGTTGGGTTTATAGATAATATATAGCTGGATTTTGAGTTTTAAATGGGATGGGGAGGACTGGGGGAGAGACTTAATAGGAATTTTGAGTCATCATAAAAATTGCATATTTATTCTTAGTGCTTCCATTTTATTTTTGTATTCATTAGTATTCTCTTATCCCAGTTTTTCATTTTTTTTACTTTTAATTGTATTAGTCAAATTGCTGTTTTATTTTTAACAACTCTTTTCTCCTTGCCCCATTCCAACTTAGAAATGTTATCTTTAATACTGCTAAGGATTGCCTTCATATTCTTTTTTTTTTAAATCATCATATTCTTAATGGTTGTCGTTACACAAAAACTAAAAAGTACTGCTCTGTACTCCAGTGACTTCCATTCTCACTCATCTTTTTGTTGATTTGTGTATTTTGTCGGAATACCATTCATGTTTTATTCTGTGCCTTTCAACTTCCAGCTTCTTACACTTTCCTCTGTTCTTTGATACCCTGTCCTCATATGCTCATTCTCCTTTTCTTTGAGAAGAAAATTTCTATAAGTGGTTTTTTAAAAGAGCACATTTGCAGAGTTATAGATGAGAAACCCAATTCTACTTAATTTTCTTTTATTAGAATTTTGGTCTCTTCCTATAAGCTTACAAAGAAAATATCTCTCTAGAATTCAGAAATGTCTTTAATCCTGGAGTTTGGCTATTTTACCAGGATGTCCAGGTGTGGATGTTAGCATTAATCTTTCACGAAACTCAGTAAGCCCTTTGGATATGAAAACTTAATTTTTTAAAGCTCAGGAAAATTTTGTTTTTATTATTCCCTTAGTTACTGCTTTTTATGTGGTCTTTTTTCTACTTCTGGTACTCCTATTTTGCTCTATATTTGCCTTCTAAGTCTCTTACCTATGCATTTATGGAATCCTCTTTTTTATTTTAATATTTTTGCCATTTTTATTGTGATTTTGTTGTTTCTTATTTCTAGCTAAGTAACTTAGCTTTCTTAGTGTTACCACTAATCTTTACCATTCTTTGCATTTATTAATTTGGAGTCAGGTTTTTATATCTAAAGTCTTCATCTTCTTTGCTTGTATTTTCTTGTGTGTTATGTGTTTATATGTTCTTAATTTGCATTACAGGTTTTGAAACTTTTTTTTTCATTGAATCTTTGTTGATAGACAGCATATGTTCTTGTTGTTTATTTGCACCAAGTTCCTTAGACAAGCTATGATCTCTCACTGTGTCAGGGCTTCTAGGTTCTTTCTGCACCTTATACCTGTCCTTGTTGGTTTCTCAGGCAGTTACTGTCAAGCCGTGAGAGGTAATTTTTTTCCCATTGTATCTTTGCCTAATGGTCTAGTTAGGTGCCTTCTGTGGAGGGTAGGGAGGAGTGTGCTTTTGGTGTCAGTGTCACAAACTTCAAATCAGACTCTCCTGGGGTGGTTCTCAGCAGCTTCTAGCATAGGGTCTTTTCCAGAAACGACTGCAACAGGAAGGCTGGGCCCCTTTCTTTTTGCTTGGTTCATTGCGTGGACTGCGAAGTGGGTCCCGTAGGTGGTAGTGGGTTCTCCACTCAGCGTCTGCCTCCCACCTTCAAGTCTCCCTGCTGTTGAAGTGACTGTCAGGTTAGCCAGTAATGGTGATCCTCTGCATTCCAGCTGTAGACTACACTTCGTCCTAGGCGGCACACTCAGGCTGTCCTTCCCAGAAGCTGTTTCTAAATATATCTGTAAAATAACAATGCTTATTTAAAACCTAGTAAGTTGTGGCTTAGCTGATTGAGCTTCCGCCTCTTGGTTTTGGCTCAGGTCATAATCTCATGGCTCATGAGATTAAACCCCATGTAGGGCTAGTGTCTGTCTGCTTTTTCCTCCTTTTCCTCTGCCTCTTCCCCCTCATTGCATGCTTTCTCTCTAAAATAAATAAAACCTTTTAAAAGTAAAATAAAAAATAAATATAATAAATAAATAAATAAATAAGTAAAACCTGATTAGTTAAAGAAAAGGCAGGGTGGGGATCAGTTGCTCATAATGCTGTAATCTTTGTATAGTTACTACTTTTATCTTTATTTCCTTCCTCTTTCCATAAGCATACACTGTTTTTCCTGACATAGCATGCTTACGTATCCTGAGTTTTTCTTTTTTTTTTTTTGATGCCAATCTTTTGATTATTATGGTGGTGATTAATTTGAATAAAACTTGAAATCAAACTTTTATTTATTTTCATATAGAAAATGAAGACCTTTCCAATCAGTCAAAACCTACACAGAATCAAAGTAAGTATCAGCTTTGCTCCAGATATAGCTGAAGTGCCCTGGTTGTCTGCTCTGTTATTCACTGAGAACAGTCTGAGTTGAATGTATTTGGAATCTATGCTTTGAAGAAAGTTCCTAAAGAATTTAATCAATACTTGCTAGAAGTGGCTTGATAATGGTATATTATATACACACAGCATGAAATGCACATATTAACTGGATTTAAAATTAATGATATGCCTTTGTGTCTTGTATGAAAAACTTGCAATATAATCTGAGTGGTCTATGGCATTACAGCCACTTTCACTTTACATTATGTGATATTATCAGCCTCATCTCTGTTTTAATATAAACATATTAAATCCTTTTTCCTAAATGCTATTTCAAATACTAGATTTAGATTTAATTATTTTCATAAGTGTTGGGGGTAGCATAGCTTAATGTAGAAAAAAAACAAATACAAGGGGTGCCAAAGCAAAAGTGAAATTGAAAAAGGAAGATGAGAGGCACCTCGGTAAAGCATCCGACTCTTGATTTCAGCTCAGGGCTTGATCTTAGGATCTTGTGTTCAAGCTCCATGCTGGGCTCCATTCTGGGCGTGGAGCCTACTTTATTTTCTTTTGTTTATTTTATTTATTTATTTATTTTTGGCATAAAAGAATTGAAAGTATTTATTAGGACAGAGAAGCAAAATTTGCCATAGTTACTATCATTGGAATTATAAAGTAAATTAATATATACTTTAATAGCATAATAACAGTGATTTTTCATTAAGGTCTTCACATTCCGTAGCACATTTAACAAACTTTGGAAAGACAATGTCACAGAATTGTTCTTAAGCACTACACATTAACCGGAAACTAACAGAACACTGCGTCAACTATATTCAAAACAGACAAAAGAAAACACCGACATGTTAGATTATCATTAACGTTGTACATAAGGACAAAGACAGCAAAATTCTTTAACCACATCATCATACTAGTGTCATACATGTTATCTATCAAATTTTATTTTGGAAGTCAGCTCACTTCAATGTCAGATTCTGTTTTACTGAACAATGTCTGGTTTGGCAATTTTGAACTTTGTTGTAAAACTAAATAAAAGCAAAAATCCTTAGGAAAAATGTGCTTTTCCTTTTTCAAGAAAAACAAAGTTGGGTCTAAGCAGGTGACAGTGTTCTCTTCAAATCTACTCTAACAGAGGAACCTGTCAAAACACTCCTCTAAAAAAACCTACTTTAAAAACAAAAAAGAAAGAAAAAAAGGAAGATGAGAGGTGGCGTCCGTAATGACTGCAGATGGCAGCAGTACTGCAACATTTTATTTTTCTTCTAGTTGAGGCTCTCTGTGGTCTGGAAGGAGAGACGTGCTTTTGGATAGGAGACAAACCTGAGCTCAGTTCTTGTGTAGCAAAGTAGCACATCATTAGAGTGCTCAGTTAGGAGTCTCAGTGGGAATTCTATTCCCTGAGCAGGGTGCCTAAACAGTGCTTTTTTGCTGGTGGTTTCTAAAGGAGGCAGTATAATGGGCTGGAAAGAAAACTGAGATGGCAGGACATCATTTTGTGACCATGTAATTTAACTTCCATGAAAAGGAGGTTGAGGAAACTTGAGCCTTTATGCTCAGCTTCGTTAATCTGTTTCTGAAGGGAGTAACAGGTTAAGTGCCCTGAGAACCATCATTAGGAATAGCATACTTTGTTTTCCTATGCTGTGTTATGTTAGCATGATTAAGATTTTATTTTCCTTTTGAACCATGTCAGGAAACAAAAAGATAAACTAGTACACTGGTTAAGGATATGGGTCCATCAGAACTGGTTCAAATTTTGGTTCTATTACTTAATAATTGTATGACCTTTTTAAAAATCATTATTGTGATAAGATCTTAATGAGATCTACCCTCTTAAATTTTTAAGTACACAATATAGAATTGTATAGAATATACATTTAGAATATATAGAAATATATAGAATATATAGAATATATAGAAAAATACATAGAATATATAGAAATATAGAAACAGTGTCATACAGCAGATCTCTGGAACTTACTTACCTTTTGTAACTGAAACTTGATTCCCTTTGAACATCACCGAGTAGCTGCATGATCTTCTACCAACTTGCTTTAACCACACCAAGCCACACTGCCCATCTGTAAAACAGGGTTGTTTGTACCTATCTCAGGGTTGTGTGGGGACAAATGAAATGATAGGCATAAAGTACTCAGCGCAGCATCTGACAGATAATGTTTTACAGTTAACAACCAAATTACATGACAGGAAAGTCGTATTTATCGTGGTATGTTTTGGGGTTTCTTCGATTTGTTGTTGTTTTGTTTCATTTTCACTGCAGGCACTGTGTATGGTTAACAGTGTATGGCTTTTGCTTTATTATGTAAGATCTTCAACAGAGACTGCTTATAAAGAATGCTTTGGTACAGTTTGGTCTGACCTTGTGATTTGTCATTCTACTACATGGTCTTCAGTGTGCAGTTACATAAGATAGTGACTTCTCAAATATTTCCCAACCAGTGTTGACCTAAATAAATTTTTAGTACATTATTTACAAACACAAAACTAGGTATATAGTCCTTGAGTTTCTGTTTTTTGTTAAACAAATGCAAACAAAAGTACAAATCCACTTTCATATGTCCTCTAAATTTAAAATATATAGTCTTATTTTCTTGAAACCAAATTATTGCTAATGACTATCAGACTTTAGGCCTTTTGAGTTTGAAGTTCATGTATTTCTATATTACTGTTTGTCACTTCTGCCATCTTTTTTTTCTAAACTACCATAAAATTTGTTCAGTCCAATGCGGCACCTTTTGGGCATCTCTTAGTCCAAATAGATTATGTATATTGCTGTTTTCTTCCATTTTATTCCTGTGGTCTCTTCCCCACCATGATTAACATTGTGCAGTACTTCATTGATTGTGTCAGCTTTCTTATGCAAAAGTCTTTATTATGCATAAGTTTAGAAACTTAAGTCTTAGCTCATGAAAATAATTTTCGGTTGATTATCACTGGGAAAGGAATATTCTCTGTTTACAAGTGAAACGCACTTTGATATGAGTACGGCAGCAGGTGATTGTTGTCATTATGACTTCAGCTACCTCAGTCATGCTTTCCATTTGACATCAACAAGATCATCAAAGGCTAACATTGTCCTTAAATTGATTCAGAGAGGAAACAAATCATCCCCCCAAATACTTATGGTATTTGGTAATTACAGTAATTATTCATAGGGCTTATGAGAATAAAAATATTATAGCAAACTCTAGTGGAATTCTTGAGAGTAGGTCTTTGCATGGGTTTGGTAACTATAGTTAAAGTCATGGTAATAATATATCAAGTGTGGCAAACACTAAATGCACAGGTGCAATGCACAATGCTAGGTGCTGAGGCTCTAAAGAGGATTAGACAGGCTTTTGCCCCTAAGGGAGCTCCTCGGACAAGGCAAATAGCCTTAGAGGTTGAGATTGTGTAGACAAGGTAGTATGGGAAAATGCTTGCGGGGAGAAAGCTATATAAATTGTAAACTGGAATATCAAGTTCAGCTTACAAGAGTGGCCAGTGCAGAAGTTGGCATGAATCCTGGGATGCCTGCTGTGACCTAAAGGGAAAGTGATGTCCTGGAAGCTCTTCAGAGGGGGAAATTACTTCTTTTATTACACTAGAGAAGTGGTTTGAGAGAGTGAAACCTAAAGTCAGTACACCAGCACTAATCACAATTAAATTTTTAATTTTTTAAAATTGGGAAAATACGAAAGTTAAGTTTATTTGCGAACTTTTCAAGACTTCCTCACTGTGCATGGGAGTGCTCTTCTGGCAGAGTCTAGAAAGGTGGCTTTACCTGAGGCTATGTATGGAAAATCCAAATCATGGAATCTATCAAGGTGGCCACTGCAGTAGCCTACCATACCTGTTGCTGATTTTCTTCGTGTTTGTCAAATGTTACAAAAATGTTGACGTATTTCTTTTGGGTTAAAATGTAACATTTCAGCATGGTGATATTCTTGCCTCTTTCTGCTCCCCACCCCCTATAGCGTTTTCTACCCCAGCAAGTCAGCTCTTCTCTCCTCATGGTTCCAATCCTTCAACGCCTGCTGCGACTCCCGTCCCTACCGCGTCCCCAGTGAAGGCAGTAAACCATCCATCAGCATCAGTAACTGCGACCGTTTCCGGACTGAACATGGCGAATACCGTCCTTCCCGTGTTCCCAGGGCAGGTCTCCTCGGCCATCCATACGCCTCAGCCATCAACGCCAAATCCAACGGTTATCAGAACCCCTTCCCTGCCTGCGGCACCTGTTACCTCTGTCCACAGTACAACATCAGCTCCTGTCCCTTCGGTTTTTTCTGGCCTGGTGCCCCTGCCAGGTCCTTCCGCTCCTCCTGTCCCAGCCCCTCAGGCTACGTCCACACCTCGGGCCACTCCTGCTTCCAATGAAACATTTGCTTCGACTTCTGCCCCTTTCACTGGCCTCCCTTTTCCTGCCACCTCTACTGCTGCTTCTACCAACAATGCCAGTTCTGCTTCACTGTCGTCAGTGTTTGCAGGTCTGCCCTTGCCCTTAACGCCGACATCCCAAGGGGTGTCCAACCCGGCTCCCTCTGTCATTGCCGGGGGCTCTGCTCCCAGTGTGGCCTGCCCGCTCGGTGTAAATAATCCCCTTCTGTCTGCTTTGAAAGGCTTTCTGACGTCGAATGATACCAACTTAATCAACTCCTCCGCTCTGTCCTCTGCTGTTACAAGCGGACTGGCTTCCCTGTCTTCTCTCACTAACCAGAACTCTGATTCACCGGCTTCAGGCTCCAAGTGCTATGCCCCCTCCGCCGTTCCCGCCCCGCCGAGGTCCTCCACGCCCGGGCTGGCCATGTTCCCCAACCTGCCCTCGACCGCGGCCAACTCCGCTCCCACCTCCTCGACTTTGCCCGCACCCTCTCCACTGGTGACGCCCACGTCGTGCTCGGCTTCGGCGCCGACCAGCTGTGGCTCCTCCGCTGCGCTCTTGCAGGGCCCCCACGCGAGTAACTCAGAGCTGCACGTGGCGTCTGCCCCAGCTGTCACAACACTCTCGGTCATGATCAAAACGGAGCCCACCAGCCCCACCCCCTCGGCCTTTAAAGGCCCCGCCCACTCTGGGAACCCCGCCCCCGGCACCCTAGGTCTGTCAGGGACGCTGGGCCGCGCCTACACGTCAGCATCGGTGCCCATCAGCTTGTCCACCTGCCTTAATCCTGCGCTGTCGGGCCTCTCCGGTTTGACGACTCCCTTGAACGTGTCAAACCCCCTCTCCATCTCCCTGCCGCCACACGCTTCCTCCGCTCCTATCACGCCGGTGTTCACCGCGCTTCCTCCGTTTACTTCTCTGACCAATAATTTCCCTTTAACGGGCAACCCGCCTCTCAACCCGTCAGTGTCTCTTCCAGGCTCCTTGATAGCCACCTCGTCTGCCGCTGTCACGTCCGCAGCCATCCCTCCGCCGAGTTCCAGCGCGGCGGTTCTCTCAGGGCTCTCAGCCTCGGCGCCGGTCTCGGCGGCGCCTTTCCCTCTCAACCTGTCCGCCGGTGTCCCCTCCCTCTTCTCCGTCACGCAGGGACCCCTGCCGTCTTCCAACCCCTCCTACCCCGGCTTTTCTGTCTCCAACACCCCCAGCGTCGCCCCCGCCCTGCCCTCGTTCCCGGGGCTGCAGGCGCCGTCCACGGTGGCGGCCGTCACACCACTGCCGGTCGCAGCCACCACCCCGTCGCCAGCTCCCGTCCTCCCAGGATTCGCTTCAGCTTTTAGCTCCAATTTCAACTCTGCTCTCGTTGCACAAGCCGGGTATGTGGATACTTTGGGGAGAGGGTATGGGCTATGGTCGTTTTGATCTACCCCGTAGTTCGTAGTCCTATTTTGAAGTCGTTCGGATGAGCCTAATCCGATTGTTGGGCGGTGCTAACTTGTAGTTTTCTCGGCCGAAACTTCAATACTCAAAAAGCGCAGACAGCTCTTTAGCCATGTTAAGTATATATAATGTTAATATCTGCTCAGATTATTTCAGTATTCGGTAATTTATCTTTGTATAGAACAGCAGGAAGTATTACAGGCAGAACACAGACTTACTAAATGCAGAATAGTATACTTCAGAATAGAAAGTAAATTTTACTTTAGTGAGTGGCTGACTTATGGTTCCTTCCAGCCAGGGAGTTTAAAGTTTGTTTTACATCTCAAGATAATTTTTGACAAATACAGAAGCAATAGGTTTTGTCTTATCTGCGTTTTGACCTGTTCTGTCTGTTGTTTTAGCTTATCATCTGGCCTTCAAGCTGCAGGCAGTTCTGTGTTTCCTGGCCTTCTGTCCCTCCCAGGTATCCCAGGGTTCTCCCAGAACCCTTCACAGTCCTCCTTGCAAGAATTACAGCATAATGCCGCTGCACAGTCGGCCTTGTTACAGCAGGTAAGTGAGAACGGTGGGGCAGAAATTAAACGGTAACATAGGTGCATAGCTTCTTTCCTGATAACCCTGTAATGCCAATGATGATATCCCAACATTGGCAAAAATTCTTATTAGAATGTCTGGAGATGTTATGATTGATCTTCCCAAATCTGCAAATTTTTGTTGTCTTCAGAAGGGTAACAGAAGTAATGGAATATATTCGTCTATATGAATTGTTTTTCCTACTTACAGACTTTCAAATCTTAGTTTGAAGATTTTACAAATGGAATCTTTATACGTGACATTTATATTTGAGCTTTTTTTAAAATAATTTAAGCTAAAATAATGGACATTAAAGCTTGTTTTCTCTAGAAAACCCATTAACCTTTTTTAAAGAATAATTAAGTATTTTAATGGCATTTCTCTTGATCTCCACCATCTGAAGAATTTTGAATGTTTCTTAAAAATTTCAGGAGGGGCGCCTGGGTGGCTCAGTGGGTTAAAGCCTCTGCCTTTGGCTCAGGTCATGATCCCTTGGTCCTGGGATCGAGCCCCACATTGGGCTCTCTGCTCCGAAGGGAGCCTGCTTCCTCCTCTCTCTCTGCCTGCCTCTCTGCCTACTTGTGACCTGTCTGTAAAATAAATAAAATCTTAAAAAAAAAATTATTTTTCCGGAGACTAAGAGGAGTTATCTTGCACCAGTGTTCTCTCTTTCTTTCCTACTCTTAACATCTGTAATGTGATATAGGCAAAAGCAGGTACCAACTCGATTAAATTTGGCACTCCGCTAACCTGCATGTTCTTCTTTTATCAGGTGCACTCAGCTTCGGCTCTGGAAAGCTATTCAGCTCAGCCAGATGGGTTTCCTAGTTATCCTTCAACACCAGGAACACCGTTTTCTTTGCAACCAGGCTTGTCCCAAAGTGGGTGGCAGTGAATAAATTTCAATTTGTATTCTCCTTTGGAGCAACATCAGAAATGCCTAAGGACTGCAGTGAACAATCTGACTAATGTCAAGTTGGCGAAAAGTCAGAGAATGAGAATAAGGATAATCCTGGGAAATTAGGATAAGAGTTTAAAACATGACGATTGCATTTTTTTAGTGGTTTTAAGTATGAACACTCCCCTATGTAAATAACTGATAATGAATTGTACGGAGGATAGTATTAAAAAGGTGTTTGGGGACTTTTCACCTCCCACCCTATGAAATTTTGAGTCTGTATGTGATCTGTGTAGGAAGAATACTAAAGAGGAGGTTGAACTCTCTATAGCCGAATACAGCCTTAAACCTGCTTGTATAGCATCCACTGACGGAAGTAATAGTCGTGCCTCAGACTTCTGGGTTGCATTTGGCCCTAGGGGCATGACTGCCCTTGGGATGCACGAGTGGTTCCTGTTAGCATCTTTGGAACTCAGTAGTCCATATGTATCCACAGAAGGGAACTTGAGACCCACGGTTATTTCTAATTTCTCACATTTATGCTCATACATATACTGCTGAATTTAACTTAATATATTTCAGGTAAGTGAAAATGGTGCTTAATATATAGTCTTTAGAATGACTTTCAGGTGTTTTCGACTAAAAATATGCCCAGAACTACTTTCTTACAGAAATGCAAGTAAGGCTTGTGATAATTTGCCTTCAAAATTCCTTTCTTAATCTCAGCAGTATCCAAATGAGTGAGGAACACTTGACTGACCCTTGGGCCACCTCTATTACTCATTGTACTCTGGAAGCTCTTGGTGAATGTTTACAATCATGGGATGTAGTATTTCTATTTGTACTTAAAGTCCAACGCTTCTCTGAAAGAATGACGTGACAACAAATAGAGAAGACTCACTCCGTTAGTAACCATGCAGTGTGTACTCTAAGGATCTGTGGTAATATATAACATGATTGAATGTCATTAATTAAGTCTAAGAACTGCCACATTTGGGGGAACGGGGAGTAGGGAGAATGACTTTCAATCCTGTGATTAAAAGTGTAAACTATAGAATCTACTGTAGTACATTTCAGCATCTAGAAGTTTTACTTTTATAAAGATGGTGTCTGGAAGATGTTGCTAATGTATTTTCCTTCAACACGGGGAACAAACTTTTTAAGTATATTGATAAATATTCCTGTATGGTTAGTTTTTAACAGTTTTTTTAAAATAAACTTTATGGATATGACAAGTATCTTGTGTTTTATTAAGTGCTTCCATAGGCTTTTTAATTTTTTCACATCATATGCTAATACATAGAACGTTTTTGTTCAAATTCAGTCAAAACTCAGTTGCTCGTTCCTTTATATAATATCTTATGTGAAAGTTATAGCCAACACTTGAAACAGATGATTGATGCCTTTAATTAACTGCAAACACAGAATGTAACTGCATAGTTAATCAGATGCCAGTTGCTGGAAGTTGTCATTTATTCTAAGTCTACACTTATAAAACCTTTTGAAGATTATATTGTGTATATATATGTTGACCATTCACTCAAGAAAAATTAGTGAGTAATCTTTCTCTAGTGATGCTGCTACAAGGTTTAGTTTTACTCTCCTGTGAGCCACTGTCATCATGGCAAAGGAGCTATGTCCTGTTCATCTTTTAGATGTATTTCTGGCATCTTGTGTCCATCGGGCATTTAAAGGTTTATAAAAAAAATGAAGAGAATATTTTTGGAGCACTTGCAATAATTACTGCGGACTGGTTTTATGTATCTCATAACCCTATGAGATAAGTACTAGCAACTTAATTAACCAGATAAATAACTCAAAAAGTAAGTCCCACAATAAAGTAAGTGGTAAATTTGAACTAAGCATTTAATACCAATACCAAACTACTTGTACTACCAAGTGCTTTGAAAATACTCAAGAGAGAACATGAGTACCTTTCTGCCTGAGGGAGTCCAGAAAGCCTCAGTGACATTAAAGTCTTAGGATGAATAAGAAATAACATCCTTTATAGAGGCATAAAGTATGACAGACCAGCACAGCAAAATAATCCCATAACTGGGTGGGGTTTGAAGGAAGGGTGTAGTTTGGGGGATTCTCAAAAGCAAGGGACATATTGCAAAAGACCTTGTAAGCCATGCTGAGAACTTGGGCATTTGTTTTGAGTCAGCAATTTGAAATAGAAAGCACTTTGCAAAAGTCACGCAGGCTATAGCATGGAAGTTGAGTTAGAGGTAGTACACTGGGTGGTTTTTGCAGAAATCCAAAAATGAAGATGGTGAGGATCTACATTATGGAAAAGGGTTAGAATGTACCTTTGCATTCTCTTTCCATAAAGCCCCATAGTCACACAGGATTTGCAAACAATCATATAATTGATCCTTAATTTTAACCCTTACCACTTGATTTGCTAGGAGAGTTTAGTCTGCATTTATAAAATATACTTAGTGTCACAATTTTAGAAAGGACTTCATTTACTCCAAGCCTCATTCTAGATGAAATTGAGCACAGTTTGTGGTGTCCACAGACGGTTAATGTGGCTATATTGAGAAACAGGTTATGCTTCCATCATTGCAGAGGTGACAATGAGACCTGTAACATTTCTCGTTAAAAGTGGATGGAACGAGACTTTCCAGAATTAGGAACAATTAAAGAATAATATATTTTTAAATAACTTGACAAAATAGTAATCGATGAACTTTCTATAATTTTAACTAATAGGGCCCTTAAATCAATTGCTTGAAGAAATTGGATTCCAAAGATTACAGGTGGGAACTTTCCTGAAGTATGTCCATATCCAAGTTAAGATTAAAAAAGTCCAACTGGGGGGCACCTGGGTGGCTCCATCGGGTAAGCTTCAGACTTGATTTCGGCTCAGATTGTGATCTTAGGGTCATGAGATGGAGCCACGTGTCGGGCTCCACACTAGGTTTGGATCCTGCTTAAGAATTCAAAAAAAAGGAAGAAGCAGCATTGGGAACTGACAATGACAACTGTGGATTGAGCAAAAGTTCTTTTTAAAAAGCCTGGAACATTATGACAGACTGGGGGAACTAAGGTGATTGGTAGTAGGAGAAATCACATGTGAAATTCCTTAAATATAAATTTATTGACTTCAAAAAAAGGCTTTACTCCAAATTAAATTTAGTGAGCCTTTGTTGGTTCTAAAGGTGACACAACATTAGTAAATAATTTGGGTCAGTTAAGTGATAAAATATTGGGCAACATTGGCAAGTCAGTTGGGAAGGGAGATAAAAATTAAAATATCTAGGTCCTTGTATTCAGGAGGGGCGTTTTGATACTGACTAAATTTTTAAATTCCTAATTTAATTAATTTCTGGTAGAAGTCTTGGAGTTCAAAGTCACTGGTGTTCAGGGCTCATGGGTGACTCAGTCAGTTAAGCATCCAACTGATTTCCACTCAAGTCATGATCTTGGCTCAGGTCATGATCTCAGGATCATGAGATTGAGCCTTGCCTCCTGCTCCATACTCAGTGGGACATCTTCTTGAGGATTCTTTCTCCCCCTCTTCCTCGTCCCTTCCCCCACCCCACTCCCACAAGCACTCTGTCTCTCTCTGATAAACAAATCTTCAAAGTCATTAGTGTTTTTAACTCCTAAATGGTGGAGAGGGCAAATAGAATAAGAAAAAACAGAGAAGGCACAGAAAAGTGGAAGAAATAAGCACACAGTAAATGTCATACTTGCCTGTACGTTGGTATCAAGACACTTGTAAATGGAAAGGAAGCAGTAGGCTCAGAAGCTTTTCAGGCTCATTCTACTGCACACACTCTTCCAAGAGAATAGACCAATTTATTTTTATAGACCTATTTAACCTTGATACCAAAACTCAGACAAGCATAGTAGGAGAAAAAAATGCAAGTCAACCTTACCCAAGAAAATAGAGAAACGTAAATTATTAGCAAAACAAAATTACTCTTAGGAAATGGTATACCATAACCAAGCTGGGTTTCTGTCAGGGGTAAAGGATAGATTTATTAATAGTAAAGCAAGGATAAAATTAAATCTAAAATTGCAATCATCACACGGAGAAAAACACATCTTTTCAGTCTATAAAAAATGGTTGAGAAAAACCACCATAATGGTTAAAAAACACATTTATCAAACTATGAAAAGAATGAAGCTTTAGTAGGTAAAGGAAATCTATAAAAGTATAGCACACATTATTTTTAATTATGGAATTTTAGAAATAGCCCCTTAAAAGTGGGCTGGTCAAGTAAAATGAAGTTCAGCATTGTACTACAGACTCGCTAATATGACAAGGTATAAAAAAGTAAAAGGCAAAAAGGTACAAAGGAAGATATAAAGCTTAGTGAGATTTACAAATATATTCAAAAGTCAGTTGCATTTCCAAATATGAGCAACAGGAAAAAACTTCATTCAACAAAGGGAATACCAGGCAATGGAATACTATCTGGAACTAAAAAAAAGAGCTGCGAAGCTATAAAAAGACATGGTGGAACCCTAAATGCATATTACTAAGTGAAGGAAGCCAATCTGGACAAGTTTCCATAGGATTCCAACTAAATGACATTCTAGAAAAGGTAGAGCCATGGACACAGAAGATCGGTGGTTGCTGGCGTTGGGGGGGGAGGGGCAAAGAAGGATGAATAGGTGGGGCACAGGGTTTTCAGAGCAGGGGTGTAAAATATTTCTATGCTACTATAGGGATGGATGACATCATCATAACATTATCATGACATTATGCATTTGTGCAAGCCCATGGAATGCACGACTCCAAGAGTGAATCCTAATGCAAACCATGGACTCTGAGTGATAATGATGTGTCAATGTAGGTTCATCAATTGCAACAAGTGTACCACGCTGGTGGAGGATTTTTATAGTGGGGGAGCCTATGCATGTGTGGGAGCAAGAAGTGTATGGGAAGTTTTTACCTTCCTCTCAATTTGGCTGTGAACATATAAGTGCTCTAAAAAAATTTAAGTCTATAAAAAGAAAACAGTGACGTATGACTTCGGAATAAATCCATCAAAAGATGAGTAACAACATCACGGAGAATTTTTTTTAACTTTATGACAATCATTAAAGAAAACTTATTTAAATGGAGGGTACACAACTATCATGGTTACAAAGAATAGATACTCTTCTAAAGAAATGAAGAACCTGCTCTACCAAATACCAAGACTAATGAAGGCACAGAAACGAAGACAATGTAGTATTCACTGGAGATAACCAAACTGATAGTGGAGTATAATAAGGAAACCATGAGCACTCACTCCGATGGGACCAATTTATAACAGCTGGCATGGCAGATCAGTTAAGGTATTGGGCGGTTTGTTACAAAGTGCTTTGATGACTGGTTATTTATATGAAAGAAAATGAAAATGGATCCCTGCACTACACGATGCACAAAAAGCTACTCTATGTGGATTAAACACTTAAAAGAGAAAAGAACTCTAAAAGATTTCAAAGAAAATACAGAATATCCTGTCTTAAGGATATCCTGTCTTCCATAGAAAAGGATAGCTTTTTACGCAAGACAAAGCAGACACTAAGTATATTGAAGCTTCCCATATTTGATATCAAAGGCATCATTAAAAAGGTGAAAAGATAAGCTACAATGGGGAGAATTATATTTGCCCTTCATGTAACTGTCAAGCACATATATATATACACACATATATATACATTATATATATATAATATACATATTAAAAATAGATGCAAGTGTATATATATATAGACTATATACAATCAGTATAAAAAATAAAAAGCACAAAACACTAAGTGCAATACAGGGAGGAGAAAACATGAATTGTAAACAGCCCTGTGAAAATTGCTCAGCTTTATTAAAATTTAGGAAAATCTGGGGTGCCTGGGTGGCTCAGTGGGTTAAAGCCTCTGCCTTGGGCTTGGGTCATGATCCCAGGGTCCTGGGATTGAGCTTTTTGCTCAGCAGGGAGCCTGCTTCCCTTTCTCTCTCTCTGCCTGCCTCTTTGCCTACTTGTGTTCTCTGTCAAATAAATAAAAAATCTAAAAAAAAAAAAATTTTTTTTTCAGGAAAATCTAAATTCAGATTATATTGAAATACTATTTTACACCCACTCAGTTGTCAAATATTAAAAGCTCCAACACTATCAAGTGCTTCAAGGATGTGGAACACAGGCAATACTTGAGAGCAGTACAGGGCTAGTGGAAGATTCCGTTGATAACAAACCACTTGAAAACAATCAAAATCCTGTTTACAACAGTCCTGTAAAGTTGAACATAAATTCTGACAATTCCATTTCTGAATGTGCACACGTTGATTTTAGGTACTGAAGAACTCTTGCATATATATGCACCAGGACATATGTACAAAAAGATTCATGGTAGCGTGATTTGTAACAGCAAAAACTTTTAAATATCTAGATAAGTCAGTGCATGGGGGCCTGTTTGTCATGTGTGAGGTACACTCAAAATGACCAAACAGTTGCCTCAAGCAGCAACATGGACGAACCTTAAAAACAATATGGAGCCACAAAGGTAATCACAGGAGACTACATGTGTATTTTTACATGGTCAAAGCAGGTAAAGCTAAGTGACACATTCTTTCAAGATCTATACATACATTGTAGGGGCGCCTGGGTGGCTTAGTTGGTTAAATGTCTGCCTTCGGCTCAGGTCATAATCCCAGGGTCCTGGGATGGATTCCTGTGTGGGGCTGTTGTTCAGTGGGAAGTCTGCTTCTCCCTCTCCCCCTGCCTCTTCCCCCTTGTTCATGCTCTGTCTCTGTCTCAAATATATATATAAAATCTTTTAAAATATTTAATTAATTAATTTTTAAAAGATACATACATTTATGATTTAAAAAAAAAACTGTTTTAAACCCCAGAGAATAATCAGCACAATTATGGATTGTGGTTATGGGGAGGTACGATAAGTCTTATGAAGGATACTCAAATAGCTTTAATGGTGTTGGTTGTTCATTTCATTTAATAAACACATACACATTATATACTTATATGTATTGTATGTATTATTTCACATGCATCATCAAAATTTCCATAATAAAAATGTCTGTTTAATAGAATGTTTTTTAATGGACTGATTATTTCATTGATGGGGGATATATAGAGAGATTTCATCAGCTGATAGTTGAAAATATTTATTATTCTGGAGTGGAGTCTAGGTCGAACTGGCAGTTTAGGGAGTTATCACTATAATATCCATACAGATCTGTGGACTTAAATTGTTATTTAAGAAGGTGGAAATTCAAAATTGGATAAATGAGAAGGAATAAAATAGAATGGATGGTACACATCGGTGAAAAGTTAATGAAATCAGAGAACTTCATCATTTAAAGAAAAGGGAACGTTTTCCTAAGGTAGCAGCAAATGTCCTAGAACGTATGTGTGCATCTTAGCAAGAAATGAAATGATGGCAGATGACAGGTGGTGGGAGAGGTTTCCTGAAACCAGAAGCTTAGAGAAGGAGAAAGGTCTGAGGCTAGAACGAATTGTTTCAAGAAGGCACTGGTGCCCTAAGATGAACATTCAGGGCAAATCAAATATACATCTTTAGGGACAACATCCTGTAGGTCAGGAGTGGGAATAGAATTAGGACTTCTAAAATCACAATT